AAAAAAAAAAAAAAAACAAATGATATGAGTTTTCAAGAGTAACCCTTTGCATAGAGATGCAAGAAAAAAACTAAATTGGCAGGGTGGGGAGGATGGCAGCACACGCCTGTAATCCCACTGGAGACACCAAAGCAGGAAGATCACAATTTCCAGGCTAGCCTAAGTGACTTAGTGAGACCCTGCCTCAAAAATTTAAAAGTGGGCTGAGGATGTAGCTCAGTGCAATACTGGGTTCAATGTCAGTATAACCAAGAAAAAAGGAAAGAAAGAAAAGAAAAAAAAGGAGTGAGGGGAGTAAGGTGGTCAAGAACCCATGAAGCTGTTATCAAATGGACATCAACACCAGTTTCTTTAGGCCAATCAGATGGATTAAATGCCAAAGTAAAATCACTATCAAATAAAAAGCTAAGGAAAGACGTGCTTCAGGAAGGAGAGGCTCCTGAATATCTGGTCATTAGGCAAGATTTCAGAGACTGCTGGATGTGGTGGTACACACACGCCTGTAATCCCACACTTGGGAGGCTGAGACAGGAGGATCATTGCAAGTTCAAGGCCAGCCCCAACAACACAGCGAGACCCTACCTGAAAAAAAAAAAAATTCCATCCTCGTCAGGCATGGTAACACATGCTTGTAATCCCAGCACTTGGGGGCTCAGGAGGATCACAGGAGGTTGAGGTAGCCCTGTGCTACATAGTGAGTTCAAGGCCAGCCTAAAATGCATAATGAAACCCTGCCTCAAAAAAAAAAAAAAAAAAAATCAATCCCTCTGAGCAACTAATGCCTCATCCCTCTTTCTCCAATTTCCAAGTTCAAGCCCATCCTGGGCCATTTAACAATTTAGTGAGACCCTGTTTCAAAAGAAAAAATAAAAATGGACTGGGGATATAGTTCATTGTGAAGGCCCTGGGTTCAATCTTTAGTACAGCAAAAACCAAAACAAAACAAAAACAAACTTGACACTTCCTGCTTCCTCATGACCCATTTCTTCATCATTCAGACTTGGGTCTCCAGTCCCTCCTGAGAGCCTTCTTAGGATGTGCACTGGCTGAGCCAGGGGCTACTTCCTGGCTCAACTCCCCTGCAGGGTCATATACAAATATTCACTCTTCCCTCAGCATTGACTGCGTTCCATCCATTTCTTTGACTTCTGTAATCTTCTCTACTTCCTCTTTCTCTTTTCAACTTAAATTCTCAGACAAACTCTTATTTCTTCCTTGAGTAAACTGTCTATAGTTTAAACTACTGTCCTTTCATGGATCCACAGTTCTAATCCCGTCATTTCTTTGAATTGAGACCCATGTTTCCAGTGGGCATTCAACTTGTTCTTGTCACTCTTCTTCAAGGACTATACATTCAGTACATTCCAACCCAAATCATCACTTTCCCCACCAAACTCTTCCCTCTTCCTGCCTTGATTCCTACTAATGGAAGCACTATTTAGTGGGTGGGAGGTAGAGAGTAGAGCAGTTAGCCACTTTCTCCTCAGCGTGCATGAAGCCTGGGGGTGATAAGAATATGGAGGCCACAGATGACTCTTAACTAATTAACTCTTCACCAGCCCCAACTGTCAGCTGTGCTAAGACACAATTAGAAATTCAACGAGGTTGGAGAAACAGATGAAACTTTTCAATCAACATGATTCAAAACATTTGAATCACATCCAGCTCATGGCTCAAATTCTAATAACATACAAAATTTTATGTTATAGTTCTTCTCATACATCTATGAAAGCTCTTGATTCTTTCCTTCATCAGAATTAAATGCAACCCTAAACCTACAGTGAATGCGTCTTTTTGGTTTTTGTTTTGAGACAGGGTCTCACTATGCAGCTCAGCCTGGCCTTAACCTCACTGCAATCCTCCCATGTCAAGTCTCCCAAGCCCTGGGATTACAGGCACACGCCACTTCGGCCTTGAACGTGTCGCTCATTGGGCACTTAGCCTCCAGCTTCTTTTACCTCCACGCAACAACTTCTCCTAGAGCACCGTGTCTAAAACTCCACTCTAATCACATGGTTCCCTGGCTCATACACCAGAATGGTTTCCCACTATTTGCAGATTCAGTTCAAACCCTCAGCATGCTATCACACTGCCTTCCAAGTTTGGATGTCTGCTATCTTTCCATCCTTATCTCCTACTACTCCCTATGTTCCAGTCCAAGGGTTACTACAGCCATTAGGCCAAATCCAGCACAGTGCCTGTTTCTGTAAATAAAGTTTTATCAAAACACAGCCATGCTCATACATTTACATACTATCTATAGTTGCTTTTGTGATATAATAGAAAAACTGAGCAGTTGCAACAGAGGCCATATGGCCTGCAAAATGTAGAATATTTACTATTTACCCCTTTACATAAAAAGTGTTCTGACAGTGTTCTAACAGGATAACTAGCTACTCACTGAAAACTGCCTGTGCTTTCTACCTCCATGTATTTGTTCATGCAGTTCCTATCTCTTGGAGGGACCCTTGCTTTTCCCCTAAATTGTACACATTCTAGCTCAAGTACTATAAATATGTGCTTTAAAACAAAAACATTAAAAAAGCTCAAATGCTACCTCTTCCATAAAGACTTGCCTGATCCTAAAGGTGAGCTTCTCTGTGCTCCCACTGTGATATCTGTACCTCTCTTTTGCATTTGCCACATTACATCTAATGTTATGATTACTCTCATAAATATATTTCTACTTCTGTATTACAAATTGCCAAGTCATTTGCAGCCTCATAGAGCATAACAACACCTTGCTTTATAAATGTCTGTTGAGTTGAAACAAACCCGTACAAGGCGGTTGAAGCCGGTGTTTTGTTTTGTTTTTTGACACAGGTTCTCGTTATGTAGCCCAGGCTGGCCTGGAATTCACACTCCTCCTGCCTCAGCCTACTAAGGGGGTATTCTTAAGGCTTAAATACAGGTCTTCACACTCAGTTGCACAAGACTTGACAGCTGCATTCAAAAGAATAAGAGAGGCAGGATTTCTCAACCACAGCACTGCTAACATTTTGGCTAGATAATTCTCTGTTGTAGGGGCCATCCTGTACACTGTAAAATGTTTAACACCATCTTTAGCCTCGACCCACTAGATTCCCGTAGCAACTCCCCAGGGTGACAATCAGAAATATCTCCAGACATTAGCAAGTATCTTCTGGGGGGCAAAATTATTCTTTTTTTTTTTGGTTTTTCTCCGGTACCGGGAACTGAACTCACGACCTTGCACTTGCCAGGCAGGCGCTTTGCCACTGAGCTAAATCCCCAGCCCTGGCAAAATTATTCTTAATTGAGAACCACCATTCTAGCTCTTTCCAATACAAGCTAAAAGTAAAATGTTGTTGCTAATAAAATATAGACTACATAGTAATTGTATTACAATGTCCAGATTAAGAGATAAGCAGTATATAGTGCTAACTGACTCACACTTCCAAGACTGTGCTCAACTCTGAATATTAAAAGGACTTTAAAAGACTGGAATTCAGTCAATTAAAGATGACAAAGCCATCAAGGGACTGGAAAAAAATGTTGTCAGAGGGATATTTAACTAAATAGAGGCAGTCAGTCTGTCACAGAGATGGTGGTCCATCTGTACCAGACATAAAGGTAAACCCATGATCTTTACATATCTGACGGGCTGTCCTATGGGAGTAAGGCTACTCAGGAAGACAGAGCTAGACCCAGTGGGCAGCACTGAAGGAAGGCTGATCTTGCCTCTATATAAGCGAAAGTCTTCTAACAATCAGAGGGGGCCAACAGATATATTGGGCTAAACTGTGAAAGACTATGTTCTTGTCATTCTAGAAATGTTCAAGCACAGGCCAGTGAACTAATATCAGGGATGCTGCAGAGAGATTCCTGCATGAGATGGGAGTTGAGACAACATGGTGTCTCTAAGGTTCTTTCTAGCTCTGAGTCTAAGGTTAGAAAAAGAAAAGCCAAATGCTATGAATAAGCTATACACATAAGCCACGTGTAATTTTAATACCTTAATTACAGCAAAAAAGAAAAATATTTTCTTAACCCTATTTCTGTTTGGTAATATCTTACATTTAGCCCCCAGCACTTTAACTACCAGTGACCTATTTATTCTAATTAACTTACAAAGTTAATTAGATTCCAGCCTAAAGTTTAGCACTACCTTTAAAAAGTAGCTTGTATTCCATTAATCATCACCAGTACAATTTGTAAAATATTTTACAGTTTTCAAAGCATCCTGACATATATTATTACCTTACACATTACCCTAACATGAACATGACAACTTATTTCAGATAACCTATATTCATTTGCATCATGTCTCTTGCCTGAATTTCTTATAAAAGGCTAGGTTTTAGTATTCATTAAACATTCACTAAGTTAATAAAGCATATTCCAGTAGATACTCATCTCCAAAACAAATCATTTATACACAACCTAGAGATAAGCTAAATCCAATTATTTTGTTATTAGATAAGCCAAATTTAGTTATTTCAGCATCAGATACATGGATTTACTTCTGTGAAATTTCCACTTTATTTATGATTTGAGGAAAACTGAAGATCATTTATACTCCTAAATTTCAACATGGGCATACAATCAAAAAGTTTAAGAAAGTAAACACAACAAAACATTAAGGGTATGTGCTATTGACAAGCAAAACCACTGTAGGCACTAACCCCAGGGTCTCTCTTACTACCAGGTTAAAACTGTCAACAAGACGTGTGTAAGGACTTCCCCTAAACCAAAACAGGCTGCCCAACCGCTGCTTTACTTACTTCTTTACGTTTTGTTTCTGGACATTCCGACTGCAGAGTAAGAGTTGCACCTTCAATATTTCTTGGCATGGGTGTGGAACCAGGGTTTATAGTCAAATGAATCTGATCAGGTGAGATAATGTGTTGCACATAACCCTGGGACATTGCTTCCTGATCTATTAGGTGGAAGCCCTCTTCACCCCCTACTAGAAAAGGCAAGTGTTCTCCACATTGTCCGTCATCATCTTCATCCTCCAAAGTGCCAGGATCCTGCTCGATAAGGACAGTGGTCCTATCATAAACAGTTCCAGATGAGGAAGGCACCAGTCCGTTTGTATCCACAAACCTGAGCATCTTGTCATCTTCCTCTGCCTCAAAGAAGATGATGTTGTCGTCTGGACTGTGTTCCCCCATGATGCAGTCGTGCTCAGCCCAGTTGTGAGAAATGGAAAGGTAATGACCTTTCTGCAATAGACAAACCCAGAATGAGAACCACACCACAAGACCCACTCACTTCCCCACAAACCTTAGCACTCATTTTCCCTCATTTCAAAAAAAACGTCAGAACAAAACAAATGAAAAAAATATTCATCAATAATTTTTTAAATTTAACTTTGATACAATCAGTCAATCTTAAGGAAAAACAATGCTTTTTCCCCCCCCAAAAAAAAAATCTAAGGAAAAGTAGCAGTTCATAAGATCTTCTAAATGTGCTTGTCTATACTTGAAGAGAACAAAGCAACAAACAGAACAGTGGTTGCTTCAAGGCTGAGTTGCTGCAAGTCTGAAAGTAAGGCAAATCCACTCATATCACACTATGTGGCAGTACACAGTTTCGTGTAGTCTGTGATAGAAGAAACATAGCTTTGGACATAAGTCATTCATCTACTAATCCTGGCTTTGCCCTTTATTATTTAAGTAACTTTTCTATGTCTCCTCTTTCTCTCAAATTTGTGATGAGGAGTAAAGCAGGGTATGCAAAGCACAACGCCTGACAAATAGAGGAACGGGTGTGGATTCTTTCCCTCCATCCTAGAACAGATGTTTCAGCTTCTGGGTGAAGGGGCTAATCCCATAAAGCACATCTAATGAAGATAATTTTAATTTAATTTTCTATCTGTTAAAATGACATGGTAGCCTGGCGTAGTCGTGCATTCCTGTAAGCCTGGAACTTGGGAGACTCAGGCAGGAGGATGGCTGACAGTTCAAGGCCAGCCTGGGATACATAGTGAGTTCAAGGCCATGCTGAACTACATAGTGAGACCTGGTCTCAAAACAAAAACGAACAAATAAAACTACATGGTATGGATCAGAAAGTATGCTTGTACACTGGGCTCTCTGGCCTGAGAAAACGCTCCTACACTGACACTTGCCAGTTCACAAAATTTCAGCTAAATGAATGAAAGACGTACAGACACATTCTCTTGCGAAAACATAGTCTCTTGGGGACACACACTCCCTTAGAGAAAATACCAAATTGGAGGTATTCCTGGTCTGAAATAGTGATTCCTCCGTCACCTGCGAACACACAGCTTCTACAAATGTGGGTCTGACAAGCAGAATATAACTTTAAAATAATTAACACATCATCTTTAGTTTTCAGTCTGGCTCTGTACTTTATCCTTCTCTGCGCCTCAGGGTTTCAAAGTGAGCCTTTACGTAGCGGGGTGGCCAGACAGAGCAGTAGTTACCAGAGACAGGACAAGGGATCTAATCCGGGAGGAACTGGCCCGACCCCTTGCTCTGGCTTACGCAACCCTACAGATGCACATTTCGCTGCTTCTGAGAGGAGAGATAAGAGTACCGAAGGCCCAATGGGCTGCCCCGGTACATTCGGCGGCAACGCGGAGACCAACTGTCCGAAACAAACACGACCAGGAGGTTTGAGGATGGCCAACGAGGAGTGTGAACGGAGCACCCTTGAGGAGCCTGGGGAGAAGAATCCGTCTAGAATGGCCCCCAGCCCAGGACTACATGGGAAAATCCTAAAATAGGCCAGGGGGCTACCAGTTGGACGAAGAGGGGCAGGGTCCGGGTCTCCATGGAGACAGGAAAGGGGGAGCTAGATACCCATCCCCATGGAAACGGAGGAGGGGTGGGGTCCCTACAGAGAGCAGACTAGGGTCTCTATTGGAAACTGCTTCAGGAGAGAGTCTAAGTCTCGCACCCCACGGGAAGTCCCAACCCAGGCCAAGTCTAGTTTTGCCTTTTACCTCCGCGGCTCCCGGCAACGGCGGCAGCAGCAGCTTCTCCCCTCCCCAGCGGCACCATGATTGCCCCCACCTTTCCCTAACGTCACTTCCGCTTCCGCTTTCCGGAGGAAGGAGGAGACAGCCACTCCACCTCCCTCTGGCGCTCCTGATTGGCTTTGGTGGCCTGGGGGCTGAGCCCGATCGTCCAATTGGCGAGCTGAAGGGGCGGGGTGAGCCGCAGGGCGGGGCGGGGTGGGGTGAGCCGTCGCTGGCCGGGTGAGGTCGGGCTGTACCGGGAAGCGGTCTGATTTTCACCGACGTGCTCGAGAGGGTACAACTCCCGACTACAGATACGAAAAAGCGTAGCCCAGTTTTCGCCAAGACTGTAAGGGAAAGGATGCCAGCTAGCCGTCAGATTCCCGACTCGGACACGCCAGGGGCGAGGCTGTTCCTACCCTCCTTCCCCTACGGCGCCAGCGTCCCTTATCACTCAGCCAAGTTAACAAGTCAGGAGGGTCCAGGAAAAGAGCACTGGACTCAAAAGGCAGCTAGAACCATTCCAGACCCAGCCACAGATAACGCTGCCGTCTCTTCCCTTCTTCATAAAACGCCGTTTCCTTTCTCCTTGTACACCTGCCCAGCTTGGTCGCTCCAACTTTTCTCTCCTACAGAGGATTCTCCCGCCCGAGTCCGTCCACGCCACCTACTGGTCACTCCCTTTAACTTCACATTCATCCTGGCAGTCCATCTCTTAAATCACTAACTACACCAAGTAGTGGCATGCTAGAGCCCAAAAAGCGTTTTTATGCATACCTTTAGTAGGCTCCCATCTTTTCTAAGTTCCTGAAAGATCTAGCTGTTAGACCCTCCCAGAAGTCACTGCCTGTTTTTCCCATGAACTGCTTCTCTATAATATTAAGAGACCCCTGGAGACTAGATTAGGGGTTCATGCAATGGCCCAGCGTCTCTTGCTTAGAAAATGTAATTAGTGACTATTATCCAACAGATTGCCAGGCATTTGTCTCTCTGGCTCCTGATAAGCTGTTTCAATGCTTAAACCACGGACGTCCAACTGCCAAAGACTGCCATCTCTTAAGAGAAAAACACAACAACCACTGTTAAAAATACATTTATCATTAAAATATATTACATATATGAGAGGACATTCATAATATACAGTTTGGACGATTTGATGGCCTAGACGTTCTCACTCGTTCACCAGAACAGGCATTTCCTCAGTGTTTTCACCTTTAAGCCACTGTATTGCCCTCCCTAGCTGAGTGACCAGCTTCAGAGTTATTGAGCCATATCTGAGGAGGAAGAGAGTAGAGTTTTCGTATGCATGTATGCAGGTCCTCAGATTGAGCAATGGAAGCTTAAGCAGTGGCTGGGGCTTGTCTATCCAGGAAGTACACCTGAATTCTTGCTGTCCGAACTCATTTTCCTTCTAGGACTCCAAAGTTTATTCAAATATCTGATCGTCAAGAGCTCAGCCCAGGCTACAGGGATGTCATTAACTTGCCCTGGAGCAAGGCTGAGTGTGCATAAGTACAGTCACTTTTGTTTTCCTTTTTTGTTTTTCTGAGAGTATGTACTCCAAATGGCCTTGAACTTGCTATGTAGCCCAGGTTGGCTCTGAATTCATGATCCTCCTGGCTCGGCCTCCCAAGTGCTGGGATTATGGGCAAGCACCATGCCTGACCTAAATTTTGTAAAGTAATAAAGAATTAATGGAGATTTGTGTTAACTAGAAGTTGAACACCAAATGTCAGTTTTTATTATGGTAGGTTTCCCCCATGCCGTCACAATTCATCACTGAGCACTCTAACTGAAGGCAGGGTTGGGGAGGCCTCGGTTCAGGAATCAGGTAGCTGCCACTCTTGCTTCCAGGTGGGTTCATATCATCTTAAGGCATCACATGAGCTGAAACCAGTGGGGCTGGCAATTGGTTGCCTCCAGTAAAACAAAGGGGGAGATGGAGAGGTTCAGAGTGTGTTGCAGAGGAACTGGTGAATAAACTCTTGAGCCTTCTTCTTATCTGTCATTTCAAGCTTTAGGTGACCAGCTGGGTTTCGAAGCAATAAACTGCCAAATATGCTTGCTGTATGAGAAAAAAAGAAAACAAATGATTCAGCAATAGAGAGTATTACTTATTCTTGTGTTTTTAGGAGCAGAGAAGCAGGTACCAAAGAGCAGTATTTTCTGCTTTGAAACACAAAACGCAAAAAATTACTCGAATGTAAACTTTGCTCAGAGCTTAAAATATAAATTCTACTCTAATGAATCCAGGACCTTCCTCAACCTCTTTTCTCATAGTGAGGCATTTTACACAGAAGCTTTCCTAGACACTTACCTAGCTGGCTGCTTACCTAGAATATTCTCATCCAAATGATTTTTTGCTGAATTTTTCAGCAATTCTTGCAAAAATGCCATTAAGTAGTTGAAGACATTTTTGTGGAATGTAGGGAGAGTAAAAATGACCTGAAAGAGAAAGAATTGGGGTTTGTCTATTTGTTTATTCAATTATTTGTCAGTTTGCCTACATTCCAGGACCTGAGTACATAATCTATGAACATGAGTAAGATCAAACACAGAAAACATTACTTCACATAGGTACCATGAGAAGCACTAGCCAAATAGCACATGAATTTAGAGGTCAAATGTCTCATTCTATGTTCTAAGATAACTTAGGAAACAGAAGACATTTTAGTTGGGCCTTGGATATAAGACAAAACTGGACCTATAAGGCAAGGGAGTCCTATAAAGGTAAGGTATTTGGGGCAAAGAAAGTATTTCAAAGATGAAAGAAACAAGGGTATAGCTCAGGGGTAGAGCATTGGACTGCAAAGATAAAAGAAAATAAAGCTGGGGATATAGCTCAGTGGCACAGCACCTGCCTGGCAAGCACAAGGTCCTGAGTTCAATTCCCAGTACAAAAAAAAAAGTTTAAAGAAAGTAAACAGTGAGGTAAGGAGACAGAACAGATATAAGAAGTCAATATTGATAAGAGTATAACCTTTTTAATATGTTTAAGGCTGAACTTCAATGGATACCCCAACTATCATCTTGGGAGCTTACACAAAATAGATTCCAAAAGACATTCTGGTTCAGTGGATTTGGGGTGAGATTCTGCAACCTCTATTATTGGAAAGTTTTCTATACTATTCTGTCAGGTATAAGTATTGTGTAAGTAAATTAGTAGGCTAAATCAAAGAAAATCCTGAATATTTAAGAAAGTAATTAAGTAACAATGGTGAGCCAAGTATGGTTTTTGACCAACATGACAAGAACTTTAGGATGCACCACTGGATGACAATCTGCAAAACATATCAGCAGAGGTAGAACCCAAATGCAGGGCACTGAACAAGGTACGTAGAATGAGAATGGAGGGGAGAGGATGGTGACAGATCACCGGGTCTGGGTGTATGGGAAGCGAGGAGAGAGAAGAGTGAGAAATGACTCAGCTTTCAGGGCTGAGTCACTAGAGTTAAGGGTGATGCTATTAAAAGAAAAAGGAACCCAAGAGGAAGAACAGGTTTGAGAAGGAAGGATATGGTATTAAGTTTCTAAGACACTGCACTTAAGGAGCTGTAACCAATTTGTTCCATCAGGCCTCCTGGGCCCAGGGAGAGCCACATACATAGTGACATTCAGTGCCTCCTCTCACCTGTTTGCTCGCTGTGTAATTACCAGAACACTCCAGGCAGCTATGGTAGGCACTGTAACAGATCACAGGCTCCGGCAGACTCTCCAGGAAAAGCAGCAAGGCTTCAGCTACAGAATGATTGCTAGCAGCTGTTGGCCCATCATTAAGGAACAGGTGATGCTGGCTCACTGCCTCTGGTTAGGAGAAGGCCGGGGGCAAGAACATGCTAGAAGTGCTCCTGCTCAGTCAGGCTCTCTGTTTAGAGCCAGGACGCCAGCTTGACATCTCAAAGTGCCTGTCAGACGAGCCAGGCCTTCCTGAGCTCCTGCTATATTAGTTGCTTAAAGTTGTAAAATCTTCTCTATGCAAACTTCAAGCAGGAAAAACATGATCACTGGGAACACAGTATCAGACTTTGTACTTTAAAATACTACTTCCCTTTTCTCACCTTTCTCACTCATATTCATACACACAAACACACAGACACACAGACACACAGACACACACACACTCTTGGCTGAACGCCTGAAGGATACAGAGGTTATCAATCATTCCAGTATCCAAACAGTCCCTGATATGTTCAAATTCCAACCTCAGGCCTGGCTGTTGAAACAGATCTTCCTGCAAAAGGGAAGAAAGTAATAAAACAATTACTTTTTCAGAAAATCAGCGACTATTTCCTGACCTATCAATATCACCAGAGTATAAAAGAGAATCATGTAGTGAGACCTCTGAATCACCCTGACAGGCTGATATGCCTAATTCATCTTCGGGTCTTCCCAGACATGTTTTTACAGTAAGTTCTCAGGCATCTATGATAAAACCTATGGGTATAGCACACTACACAAGACAAGATCCAACATAAGAAGCCAAGCATGATGCCACACACCTATACTCAAGAGGCTAAGACAAGAGGATTGCCTCAAGTTCAAGGCCAGCCTGGGCTACATAGTGAGGCTCTGTCTCAAAAACAAAACAAAACAAAACAACCCAAAGAAACAAATTAAAAACAAAACAAGGGAGAGGAGGGAAAAAAAACACAAAACAAATAAACAAAACAAAACAAAACCAGTACAACATGAGAAAACTTAAGAACACCTATGTATCCTGCAGTACTACGGAGGGATTAACTTGGGGGAGAAAATACTATATATAAGATGGAGGAAACTAAAAATGTCATCTCAGAGCATTGTACAAGTAGGATTATGGCAATAAAGTTATTTCCTTTAGGATACTATATATTCATTTGCTTCATAACTTAATACCATTTAACTGTTAATAATATACATATTACTCCAAAGTTTTATCTGAAAGGAGCTCTACAGAGAAGGTAGAATATTACAGTACTTAAGAATGTGACTTCTGTTAGGTGTGGTGGCACATGCCTGTAATCCCAGCAGCTGGGAAGTGGAAGCAGGAAGATTGCCTCAAATTCGAGGCTAACTTGAGCTACATAGTGAGTTCAAGGCCATCCTGCACAGTGAGATTTTGTCTCAAAAAAAAAAACAAAACAAAGAATGTGACTTCTATAGCCAAAGTTCCACCACTGGCTTGGGATTGTTGACCAAGTTATTTATATTTCTGAACATCTGTTTCCTCATCTGAGAGCTACTGTGAGAATTAAATGAGGCAAAGCAGTAAAACACTTAGAACAGTGCTTGCTATGCTACAACACCCAGTGAGTGAGGGGGAAAAACTGAACCAGAATATAAGAATGAACATTCTGAGCTAGAGCTGTAGCACACTGGTAGAGCATTTGCCTAACATGGGTGAGACCCTGGGTTCAATCCCAAGCACCGCCAAAAATAAATAAATAAATAAATAAATAAAGTTGCTGTGAGATTATAGTTCATACAGGTCTCTGTGGAACCTATATGTAAACAAGTCAGTCAAACCAACAACTGACTCCTGCCTAAGTCACTCTAGAAACGAAGCTTGGTTGTTCCATGAAGTCCTTCCCCTCCACCTGGCTTCTCAACAAGTCAGCCCCTCCCATTCCCAGAAGAAAAGGAGAGCAGGAGGACATCCCTGGAGGCCTTCAGATGGTTTTCTATCTGGGGGGCCCCAGGAACCCAGGAAAGGAACACACTGCTGGAAGGGGTGTCTTCCCTTGGGGTAGTCAAGGGCTGCATGCCATATCAGGCTCTCACGGGGCTATGAAACATGGTACAAAATCTCTCTCTGACCCTCTGGGGGGTGGGGGAAAAGCTTTCCACAGATTCCTCAGGCAAAAGCTTTCTATGCAAAAGGTTTTCTTTCTCCAGGCAGCCTGTCTCAATCATCCTGACTGCCTAACCACAACCTACCTGCTGGATAGCATTTCTGTACAGGTAATCAACCATCATCCAGAGCTCTTTGGGGATTTCCATAGGGCTCTCCAACTGGCTCCCACCATCTTCATTCTGTATTGGCATCAGAGTCTAAAAATAAAGGAAAACCAAGACAAGCTGACCCACTGAAGGAACTTAGGGACAGCAAACCCATGGAAAAAGGGAAAAATTTCAGTGTCCCTAACCAAACATGGACAAAATGAAATCAGATAGTACAAGTCAGGAACAAAAGGTCACTTTATGGCCAGGAGTGGTGGTGCATGTCTGTAATCCTAGCACTCAGGAGGGTAAGGCAGGAGGATCACTGTGAGTTCAAGGCTAGCCTGGATTACATAGTGAGTTCCAGGACAGCCTGAACTGCATAGCGAAGCCCTGTTTAAAAAAAAAAAAAAAAAAAAAGGTGGCTTTTGAGAACTGAGAAAGAGTTATGGCAAGCAATTTGAATGAGTCAGGTGAAATATGCACCATTTTCTTAGAAAAATAATCATGCATACAGCCTTTCACTGTCAGAACCTGAGAGACGGTGTGGTCTGATGAGGAAATAACAGACTTGGAAGTCCAAAAATCTGAGTTCAAGGTCTACGTCCACTATTAACCCATCACGTAACATGTGACAAATCACTCTCCTTGATTTGGGCCTCTATTTTCATCTATATAATGGGAAGGATAATTCAAAAGTCCCTAAACAAGAAAATATATTGGGGGACACACATGTACTACCATAAATCTGCTTCAAAGTAGTTCCACTGTATTAGAATTGTCTCCATTGGAGCTTTTAAGCTTTCAGTGAATTTAGTTTAGGATGACAACCTACAAAGTGGTGACTTTAAAAGCAATAATATCATGGGCCAGGGAACTCTCATTGTATTAGGGTTCAGGGATTTGTTTTTCTAATGTATCAAACGCAGATTGAATGTTTATGTTCCCCACCCCCATCAAACTGGTGATCAGGATGCTAGATACTGATCACCAGTGCCAGAGTATCTGGATGTGAGGCTCTGGGAGGTGGTTGCTCATGAGGGCTGTGCAGTCATGAATGGGATTAGTGCTCTTACAAAAGAGACCCCAGAGTACTCCCTCACCCTTTCTACCGTGTGAAGACGCAGTGAGAAGCTGGTTCTCTAAAAACCAAATGTGCTCCCAGACACCACATGTATAAATGTCTTTATGATGGACTTCCCAGTTTCCAGAACTGTGACAAATGACGCTCTAAGTCTATAATATTCTGTTATACAAGGCAAAGGGTCTAAGACATGCACAAGTTGTGGAAGACTAAAAAACATGGCCACATTCTGAAACTTTTCCTACCAAGAGATGGAGTCTTTCCCCACCTGTGGATGTGAGCTGCTTCACAATGTGCTAGGGTCCATAAAATACGGCACAAGTGCTATGGTGCAAACTTCAGAGAAATGTCGTAAGTGGCCTTACACCTTCAGCTCTGTGCTCTTGCCATCACTTGTAGAAGCCTGAGTGATCTTTCTTCTTTTCTGAGACAGGGCCTTACTATATAGTTCAGGTTGGCCCTGAACTCACTATGTAGCCCAGACTAGCCTCACATTAAAGGGGATCCTCCTGTCTCAGCCTCCTGAGTGCTGGGATTGCAGTTGTGTGCTATCATGTCCAGCACAAGCCCCTTGAATTTTGAAAGCCCAGAGAACAGCCAAAAAACCCCAAGACATGTGAGGAAGGTCACCTTCCAGCCCTTGGACCTTCCAGTCATCACAGCTGCTACCTTATTACAGTGGCATGAGTAAGCCTAGGGAAGACCAACAGTAGAAACCAACAGAGTCATGAGAAACAATGCTGTTTCAATTTGGGGGTGGGCTTGTGGCATACCAGTACATGGCTGATATACTAAGCAAGCGGTAGCAGCTGAAGAATTCTTAAGTTCCAAGGGAGGTAGGCACAGGAGCAGCTCGTTCAACTGGCTGTGCTGCAACTCGGTTCCACATGTCTCCATGTCACTCACCAGCTCACTAATAGTTTCAAGTGGTAGATCCAAGATTGGCTGCCTCATGTAGCACAAAGTGTGAATGGGAGACCCGAAACAGCTGGGCAGGTAGTTTCCAGTCACAGACAAAAAGTAATCCTTTCCCCTGTCCAAGTGCAAAACCAGAATGTCCTCAATTTTGTCTTCACCCGAGTTGAGTTTTGTAGCTGTGGTCTTATTTACAAAAAGTTCCAATTCAATCTCAATGTCAGAATCTGCAGAAAAGTTTTAAAAAGAGTAATGTTGGCTAAGGACAGGCCAAGAGAAAAGGGACAAAGGAGACAGGAGGGAAGAGGGTAAAGCACAAAGTGTTAGGAAGAGGAAATAAAGGCTATCAACCCAGGAGTATCCATGAGCTCGGGAGACACAAGAATAAGGAGTTCATAGTCCAACAGGGACTATGAAAACAAAAGCATCTGAATAGGCAAATATTTAAAAAATTCAAGCATAGCTAAGTACCATAGCTCAAGCTAAAAGTATTAACAATAAGAAGGCATGGGGCCGGGGATATAGATCAGTGGCGTAAGCACCTGCCTGGCAAGAGCAAGGTCCTGAGCTCGATTCCTGGTACAAAAAAAAAAAAGGCATGGATCAAAGAACCTTTCCTGAGGCAGGTAAGCTGAAAATCCCTGATCCAGCAGAAATAGAACACAATTATCCACCTGTAAATTGTCCATAAAACACACTAATCCTGCCACACCATACCTCACAGAGTGCAAAGGAGAAGTCAGGGGAAAGATGCAGACAGTACATTCCACGGCCAGATACAATTTCTTAATTACCACTCAATTATCTTTCTCTACAAGAGCACGTAACTGGGAGTTGATCATAGTAAGACAAACAGTGAAAATGACTCCTTTAATAGCAGCATCTGCTTTACATTAATCTTATGTTTTCTCTTTCTGTGAAATTATGAAACATACAAATGATTGAAAACAGTTTTGAAATTCAACATATGTTCCTCACTATTTTATATTTTATTTATGAATGGGTTCGTCAGAGGGCTTTAAAAAGAAGTTTCAAGCAGAAAACAAAACAATCAGAAGCAAAGGCTTATTTTATGAAAACAGCCAAAACAGGGTCCCCAAGCCAGAAACCAGGAATCCAGGAACAGAGGCCTCACCTGGCAGGAGGAACCCTTTACTGGGGTTGGCCCTCAGCCACTGCTTACAGTAAGACTCTTCATCGGGCTTGTTGATGAATTCAAACTGACAGGGTACTTGCCCATTGTGAATTGTAAAGGACTCCACTTGCAATTGCATGTACTTCACATCCTGGAAACAGAACTGGGAACAAGCCCAGCGCCAGTCAGAACCACTGTCCTCTCCTGGACCACGTGCCCAGCCACCCCAACTTGCCCTGGGAAGAAAATGAAGGACCATCTCTTCGAAATGTTTCTTCCTCGGGTATGTACCTGGATGACACAGCCAGTTCTCTGTGTTTAAACCAAAAACCCCCAAACTCCAAAAACTCAAGTTGTTTTTATATGTATATTTCCTGAAAGAATTAAAATTTATATCATTTATACCCAAAAGCCATTTTCAAAATGCCCCTCACAAATTCCATCCCTCAACATGAGGAACAAGTTCACCCTGGCAAGTAGCTGGACAGCTAGGGATTAAAAGTGTCTTTACCATAAACCTCCATTTGATTGACTGTGTGCTGTTGTCAACTTTGAATGACCTCTGCTGTGGCTCTCCCATGAAAAACCTTAGCTCTAACTGGCCCATCACTTTTCTCTATTGTTTTCTCTTCCATCAACTCATGTGGATCCAAGAAATTCACAATTAACTTAATCTCATAGTAGGAAGATAAACCCACTGAGGAAAATATACACCTGTTATGGTAAATCAAACAAAGCACCTTTCAGATTATCTTCTGGTAGCTGGGCATGGTGGCACAGGCCTGTAATGCCAGCACTCAGGAGGCTGAGGATCATTTTGAGTTTGAGACCAGGCTGGGCTACAAAGTGAGCTCAAGGCCAGCGTGAACCGCATAGCAAGATCTTGTCTCAAAAAGACAAACAAAACAAAACAGATTATCTTCTGGTTTAGAAGATGAGGTCATGAATGTAATCTAAGCCAAGAACCCTGTCTTCCGCTACCATCATCCTCACTTTATCAAGAAGCAGCCTGTCAAGAAAACAAGAGTCCAATAACATGACAAATTATTCTGAGCTCTAGTAAATGAGGGACACTTAAGTTCTAGGAAGAGAAGAGCCCAAGGTAATATTCTTGACATGTCTCCCTACCTCTCGCTTGGAGAGAGACACAGAAGGAATGTTGGCATTTTCCATCTTATCGAGGGAGCGAACAATTTCCTCCAAAGTCTTCCTGTAGAGCTCATCATTGACGACTTTCACCTGGGACAGAAAACAGCAGAAACTGACTCTGAGGTTTCTGCCTATTTCCTCTTTCTCAATATTAAGCACGTTAATGGTGTTGGAAATAACAGATGACAGCAATGCAGAAAATGAAGGCTAAATACATTTAATTAACTAATAGAGAACCCAATTAACAAGAGGCTTGGAGGGTCCTCCGCTTCGGTAAAGGCACCTGCTTCCTGACCAACAGAAACAAGATACAGAAAGAACGAGCTGCTGGTTCTGTCAGCCTTAGGCCCTAGCAGAAAGATGCCAGGCGCTCAGCTGTTCTGCTTGCTGCCACCCACAGGTCAGCAGTAAGAAATGTTTTTAGGGCTTTGATTTAAAGCAGCATTTCCAAGCTTTTTCACACAATCCAGGCTCTACTTTCTGTATTTTGACTTACAAACATTTCCTATTTTCAAAAAAACTTTAATTATAACATTCATTAGCCTTTCTCAAACTACCCACATCCTCATAGTTCTTGATATGCCTCTACCTATAGCCTCTGTTTTGTTTTTTTTTTTGGTTTTTTTCCGGAACCAGGAATCAAACTCACAACCTTGCGCTTGCCAGGCAGGCGCTGCGCCGCTGAGCTAAATCCCCAGCCCCCTACCTATAGCCTCTGAAAAGACAACAGTCTAGAAAACAAACAGGAACTTCCACGTATGAGTATACAAATGTATATCAAAAGACTTACTAATTATGTTTAAACTATAGAAGGAATTCTGCCTCCAGGATGCCTTTGAACTCCTGGCATTTCTATCCTGCTAGTATCATTTGCAAATTTTGGACCTGCCAACCCCCACAATCATGAGAATCAATACCTAAATAAATCTCTTTCTATAGATCTATGGGTTCTGTCTCCCAGAAGAATTCCAACTAATACAATACTCAATAAATGATGGGGATAAAATAAAAATAATAAATGATGGGGAGAAAAAAATCCCCAGCAACCTAAACTACAATAACAAAATGATGGCTACTATTGTTACCATCTAATTGTTGGAGGCAATGAATTTTAAAATTAATTAACTTAAACAAACTTTTTTTTTTGGTTTTTTGAGACAAGGTCTCATTATGTGGTTCAGGATGGCCTTGAACTCACTATGTAGCCCAGGCTGGCCTCAAACTCACAATGATCCTCCTGCCTCAGCCTCCCAAGTGCTGAGATTACAGGTGCACAACACCATGCCCAGCACTAAACAAATACTTTTTAAAAGGAGCTTCCTCACATTCAAGGGCAGAGGAGGAGGTCAAAAAGACAAAAAGTAATGTGTGAAAACCTGTTCCCAGGATTACAACAGGTACCAGCTGCCCACCTACCCCAATGTCAAACTCTGAGCTGACAGGCTTGTGGTCACTGGTCTTCAAGGCCATGTGGCTCTGGTAACTCAGCTGAGTGATGTTCTTCCCTTTCCACAGGATCCGGTCACACCAGGCAGGAGCACGGCACTTCTCACTGAAATGGAAAGCCCATGCTGGCAACATGCACACTTCCATGCTAGTGCCCAGGGTCAGGCAAGTATCAGGGAAGCACAGCCTTCGCATCCATGTGGCCCAGTAATCTAAGATGACAGAAACAATTTAGGCCCACCAAGGAATAACATATATCCTGTGGGTATCACGCAAAAGAAACTATGGAAGCTCAAAATCCAAACACAGTTCAGACTGATTCTCTGCTCTTTACCCTCCTGTGAGGACAGAAGAAGAGTAAAACAGCAATATAAAAGTACTTAAAAGGAGGCAGTAAAGGGAACAGGCTTTAACTTCCTACTGTCTGCCTCTGCCTATTTGGCAGTCTGATTTTTCTATGCCTCGGTCCCCAACTTCATAAAACAAGGATTAAAAAAAAAAAATCACACCTATCCCAACAGGTTGTTGTGAGGATTAGACAATACAAATAAATGAGGTAATATAAATGACTAGCAAATAATGTGTAATGCACAGTAAACACTAATAAAAATACTACCTAATATGCAATGACCAAGTACAAGCCAAGTTAGATGAAATCACCTCATCTAAAGCATAACTGAAAAGCAAATCAGGATCAAGACATTATGGAACAAAGCCTAAGTCAAATATAAATATATATGGAAAATGCGAGGAAAGAAGCACAGGAAACTAGTGTTCTTCTGCACGTCTATAAGGGCAAGTACTTCCCAGAATTCCTGATTTCCATGTGCTCAGTCCCAAAGCTGACCTACCTAGTATCCCAGTCATCAGAGCCAGTGTCATACTTATACGTAGGCTGGAATGTCAGCGCTCCCTCTGTGTAGCCATCAAAGACAGTCTTGGCAGCCACTTGAATTTTCAGCTATATAAAAGGACAGGAGAAAAATACTTCAGAATAAAATGGTTAAACCTTGAATTAGTAAAGAGAAGAAAATCAATCTGCAAGTCAAGCTCTAACGAAGGGGAAAGGTCTCATTAAAAAAGCTATTCTGCGAGATGTTAACTAACTTATAGGAAGAGGAGAAAGCTGACGACAATCCTTTCACCTGAAATAGTTTTTAAGGCTCTTTTATAAGAGTAAGTGTGGGGCTGGGGATTTAGCTCAGCAGCAAAGCGCCTGCCTGGCAAGCGCAAGGTCGTGAGTTCGGTTCCTGGTACCGGAGAAAAAACAAACAAAAAAAAAAGAGTAAAAGTGTAGGGGCCGGGGATATAGCTCAGCAGCACAGCACCTGCCTGGCAAGCGCAAGGTCGAGTTCGATTCCTGGTACCAAAAAAAAACCAACAAAAAAAACCCAAGTAAATGTATAGCCAGGCATGGTGGCGCACACCTGTAATCCCAGCACTTGGGAGGCTGAGGCAGGAGGATCACTGAGAGTTCGAGGCCAGCCTGGGCTACAAAGTACGCTCAAGGCCAGCCTGAACTGCATAGCAAGACTCTGTCTCAAAAAGAAAAAAGAAAAAAAAAAAGAGTAAATGTGTATGCAAGGGACCTGAGCACAGTCTCACCGGTATGTCCCTGAGCGGACTATGTGCCATTCAACATAGGTTTCCCTTCCTAGTATCAAGCAAGTCACCTGTGCCCTGACTTGGTCCAAATACAGAGACAAAACTTATAGTCAAGCTGAATTATGTGAACTGGGAGACGCTCTGTAAATTTGGGGTTCATAGTAGAATCTACATTATAGGGTCATGAGGAAGGAAAACTATCAACATCAAACACTGCCTGAAATATTTTTTGAAAATAACTAGAATCTTCCCTACTGTACTAATTCTTTCAGCTTGTTTCTGTTTTGCTTTAGAGATAGGGTCTCACTATATAGCTTAGGCTGGCCTTGAACTCGCTATGTAGCCCAGGATGGCCTCAAAGTCATGATCCTCCTCCCTTAGTCTCCTGAGCACTGGAATTACAGGTGTGCACCAATGTGCATGGCTTCCTTTGGTATTAATTCTAGAGCTTCTAATGGATCAACTCAGCAAGAGATAAAACCTACCATTCTCCTGCCTCTTCCCTGACCATGAAGCTTGGCACTGTGCAGATGAGAGGAGAAATGTCAACTCTAACTGGAGACCAAGTCAACTACCTACCCAAGGGATACCACTTGCTAACTTCCTAAAAATATGATTTCCTAAAAACATTATAAAAGGCAATAAGAAATAAGAACTTTATATATGAATGCAAGCTGATGCTTCTTGAATGGGTACATATAGATGGTAATGCCAACTAGAAGGCGAATAACATATAAAATAGATGCTATTACTTCAGGAAAGACCAGAAAAGAAGACAAGCGAAAATAAGTATCAAACTATAAGGGAAATTAGAATGCCTCAGTCCAGAACACAGAAGGAATTAACAGACAGATATGGAAGTGAGTGGATTAATGCTGAATGGGGCACTAAGTAGAACAAAAATAATTTACCAAGGAAAAAAGATGGGGGAGGGAGGAAATGGGTTAACAAATTATTCCACAAAGAAAGACACAGTAGCCGGGGATATAGCTCAGTGGCACAAGTACCTGCCTGGCAAGTGCAAGGTCCTGAGTTCAATTCCCGGTACCAAAAAAAAAAAAAGAAAGACACAGTAAAGTTAAGATTCTTGTCTTCATTAATCTGCTCTGTGGAAGAAAAAGGAAAAAGAAAGACTGAGAATAATAACGACACTGAAGTTATTAAAGACTGGTGTGAGGTACGATTAGATTAAAAAAGGAAAATGATGTTACATTTGGAACAACTTTGACCACTTGAAAAGTCTGAAATCTACTGAGAGTAGCCAGAAAAGATTTCCCTCGTCCTGTGAAATGGGCAATGCTCTGAGAATGAAATGCTACGTCAAGGGGCCGGGTATATAGCTCAGCGGCACAAGTGCCCGCCTGGCAAGCGCAAGGTCCTGAGTTTGATTCCCAGTACTGGAAAAAAAAAAAAGAGAAATGCTATGTCAAATAACAACAGTGGAGAACAGCAGGTTACACTGCCTCCTGTAGGCATCAAAGAAAGATACTTGGAGCTCGCCCTCACACTGGAGACTTCTAGTGAAGGGAAGGATGTAGGAAGCAGGAGCCTTACTCAAATTAAATTATAATCATCGTAAATATGCCAACTACTTCATTTATAAAAGTTGGGCCCTTTTTGTCTCAACTTCAGACCTCTGGAATGAATCAGAAAGAACAAGATATGCTCCAAAAAGAGACAGGTGCCTCAAGGAAAGAGCCAATGGGAAGCCACAATGGCAGAGAGAAATGTAGAAGAAATGAAGAAGGAACTGGACAGCACCAGCTCCTCAGGGAAACCCAATCTGAGGCGGGTGAAGCTGAGGGCAGGCAAGCCAGGCTTCCTCCTCTGCCTGCAGAGGACACAGGTGGTCATCTGTACCTGATCATATGCATACAGGGTTTGAAAGGCCTTCTCTTCGACGAGCTTTTTCACTTTTTCCACATCCAGATCTTCTATCCTGTAGTTGAGGTCCCCAAGCCACAAGATTACACTGTGAGGACAGAGCACAAAAGTGATAGGGTTTAGGAGGGACTTTAACCCATTCTATCCAGGTGCTTCTGACGGAAGGTCCTTGAGTCTCCGCCTCTTAGGAGCTGGGTGGGAAACTGACTTAGCCATTCTGGAATTTTCTTTCTTTGCTATCCTATTTAATACCAGGCCTAACATGCTGCTTATTTAAGTTTTTTGGGTCCAATTCAAGATCATTATGAGTAGCCCTGAGTTGTCCTCCACTACTTCACTCTTAGAGAGTTGGAAAGATGGCCTAGTCAGATCGAAAAGCAAGACAAGAATTTACCCCACTGCTGGGAAGAGGTTAAAAAAAAAAATGAAGAAGAAGAAGAAGAGTTGAAAGTCATGCCAATTACCCAGGGACTCCAAGGCAATGGTGCCATGAGGACATCTCCACCTCCATGTACAGTACAGTCCATAAAACTCACTATCAACCTTCCTTTCTAGACAGAACTCCTCTCAAACAAAACTCACTCTTTGTAGTGCAGCCTGGATTTAACCACCACTGTATCACTGGTGGGCTCGTTCTGTACTCCTGGGAAGAGCTTTGACAGGTGGTTTATTACGCCTGCTGCTTTGGGACAAAGCAAACGGAAGACTCCCTGATGACATCGTACATCTCCTGAAGTCTAACACTGCTGCATCTGAAGCCAACAACCATGCCTTCAGAGCACCTGCACAGCAGTACACATGGCCTCCAGATAAATGCATCCACAGGCTAAAAGCAGAAGACTGCCCAGCAACCTGCAATCTCATACACGAGTGTCTCCAAGTATACCAGCATGGAGCAGCTCAGCTAGAAGACGTGCTGCCTGCCAGAGGTCGTGGAAGAGAAAAGCCATCCTGTCAGCTTCCAGGACACCAACGAACTAAGACAGATCCACTGCAGCAGGCAGGATGAGAAGTGAGACTTGTTTATTCCCTGGCAAGCACCATGGCCCCAATGGCTTCTTCCTCTTTGTAAAAGCAGTGGCATAAGCTTCTACTGTTACCATATAGTCTGAAATTCTAGACCTCTGAATTCAAAGAGTAAGTTTTAGAAATAACTGAAATAAAGAATGAACAAAGATGCACAACATGCTCTAAGCAGCTGCACTCATAGCTTCGTAAAGTTGACTCAAGAGAAAAAAAAAGACCAAGTAGAGGCAAACAAATGCAGTCCCACTCTCTACTGCACAAGCCCTGGAAAAGCAGACATGAAGTCCTAAAACGTACTTCTGAAAACTATGTTTGAGACGCTTGTTCTTTCGTTGCTTTCCTCACAATGCCAGGTCCAGGCACATCCATATTAAAATAAATCTTACATTTTTCCAGGGACAAATGATGTTTGAGAATGGTTCTTCAGGTCTGCCAGCTGGTATGTCAGGAAACTCAAAATTTCCAAGAGCTCTAATCTGCAAGTAACTGACAGCTGGCAGGTACCCTACCCCAGCAGTCACCTCCCCAACAACTATAGACACCGAGCCCACAACTCTCCACACCACTCCCGGAGAGCCGTACAGGGAAGCAGCCCAAACTCACTCGTGCTTGCTGATGGTGAGAGCGGGAAGGCTTGGGTCAACCTGGCAAAACTGCATTCGAGAACAAATGTCTTTATAGTCTTGGTTTCTCCTCTCATACTCTTCTATGTGGGCTGCCAAGTGAGAATTCACAATGCAGATGCTGGTGTTGTGCAACTGGAACCTGATCGCCACACCTCCTTTGTTACCCTATTAAAAGGATCCAAAAAATCTAATCTTCAACTTCATTGTGTCAGTCATTTAATCCTGCAAACTTTCAATATGTTTTGTCTCACAGTCTTCATCATAACCCTGCGAGGTTATTATCTAACAGTCTACGATAAGAAAGCAAATCCACGAGGGTACAAAGACTAGCTCATCACTGGAAAGCTGAGCCCAGAGCCTGGTATTCACAATCTAGAGGTCTTTTCTCTTCATCACAGGCCAGCCATATGCTTTTCGTCTCCACACAAACCTCAGCTCTTGCAAGAGAACATAAGAGCAGGACTCAGCCTCGAGAAGTAGAAGAAATTGCAAACCTTCGGCCTTCTTTGCTTTTCTTTGCAACCCAATGTAGTTTCTGCACCATGCTTGATAAGTTAGATAGCAGGATCAATCAGAGTTGATCCCCCGAGTGTTGAGTAAACATGAGGATAGGTGCTGACTGGGCAAACCAGCCAGCAATTTACTAACATGTGATTTCTAAATGGTCTGGTCAATCCAGCCCTCTACTCAGGACATGTGTAGTCACTGCATCACAAACTGAGTTAAGGGGCTGAGAAGATAGCTCATCGGCACAGCATCTGCCTGGCAAGTACAAAGCCCTGAGTTTGATTCCCAGTACACACACACACAAAAGCCGAGTTAAAATGGTAAGGGTCAAAAGCTTTCCGTGCCCCATATTATAACCAAGAACTCACCATCCTTCCCATGATTCCTGTCCCTACAGTCTCAGTTTCCACTTCTGAGATGTATGCTGCATGTTCCTGTTTGACATATAACAGTAGCATAATCCCAACCATTCGAATGAGCTTCACCTGGAAAATATAGTCAAATATTCAAGTCACGCTATCAGACAGAAATGGCAAACAAGAATAAATACCCTCCACTGGGTGCGGTGGCACACACCTGTAATTCTAGCACTCAGGAGGCTGAGGCAGGAGGACTGCTGCGAGTTCAAGGCCAGCCTGGACTGAAATGTGACCCCCGTCTCAAAAAGACCAAAAACAGCTGGGGATATAGCTCAGTGGCACAAGCGCCTGCCTGGCAAGTGCAAGGTCCTGAGTTTGATTTCAAGTACCACAAAAAAAAAAAAAAAAAAAAAAAGAATAAATACCCCCCAAAGGAAAAGTGACTAACTGGCTGAGAGAATTAATGTATCTCCTTCCCCATGCCAAGAGGCCAGGTAATCACCTGTTTAACTCTCTGAACATGTTACATGATAAACTAAAAGGTCACAAATGCCAAGACCTTGCATCTTTCCCACCCAGAGGAGATCTTTCTGGAGGACGTGAAACTGGAAATAGGATAATTAAGACTGGCTTATGATAAAGGTCATGGAGAGGATAAAAAATTATCTGAGCCAGGCATAGTGGCGCATGCCTGTAATCCCAGTACTTGGGAGGCTGAGGCAGTAGGATCTCTGTGAGTTCAAGGCCAGACTGCAATACATAGTGAGACTCTGTCTCAAAACAAAACAAAACAAAACAAAATACCCTAAAAATATGTGAGAACTTCCCTAAATAGTAACATAAAATTAAAACGTGCCTGGCTCCTCTCTTACCTTTGCATACTTGGCGTCTGGATGAAGACTCTCTGACACAGCTTTAAACCACTCTTCCTCCTTTGGAGTATCATGAAAGAAAAAGGCTTCCTTACTTAGATCAAGCTCCTGGAACCTATTTGAAGAAGGAACCAATTAGTACAGCAACATTCACATCACATATTCTCAAATTGGTTGAGGAGCATAAATCCTTGCTTTCTAGCTAAACTGGAGGACCCTCAGCAGGGGAAAAAAATAAACACTTAAGACCCAAACACTTAAGAACTAAATGCAATGGAGCTTACAAGGTGTTTTTATAAACACCAACCCATTTCCTCTTCATGCTGCAGCCTATGAAGTAGCTGTAAGCACCCCTATTTTACATCAGCAATCACTCATTCACACAAGCACCAAATGGCAAACTGGGACCCCAAGCGAGGTCTGTGTAAATTCCAAATGTAGCTTTTCACAATACACCACATGGCAGTGGTCTGCTGCTTTTCCCCACCAACAGTGCCTAGTACAGTGATGAGAGAATAGTAAGAGGGAAACAAAATTAACTCATGGGACTTTCTTTGGCTCACCCGCTTTCCAGGGAAAAGGTATCTTTGGTTTTTGCTTTTTTTTTTGAGACAGGGTCTTGCCACGTAGTTCAGGCTGGTCTTGAACTCACTATGTAGCCCAGACTGGCCTCTAATTTGTGGCAATCCTCCTGCACCGGCCTCCCAAGTGCTGGGATTATAGGCATGAGCCACCACATCCCGCATATATTTTTGCCTTCTGACCAATACAGTTGGATGTCCAAGTAAGGAAATTCAGTTCGGGGTGAAATAATTTTAATAGGGTGATAATAACAGTGCTGAGTATAGCACTCTGTCATTATGCACATGGTCATTTTTCCATTCCTTCCCCTGCTGTGAACTCAGCTACATATTTGTGTCCTCACTCTATCAATACTGCTGTCCATGCGGAAGGATGGAAAGACAACTAAAAGAAAAGCACTCACCCTACACAGTACACATCGGGGGCCTGGATACCATGGCTCAGCCAGGGCCGGAGGCATTCCTTGGGGGACTGTCCATTCACATTGTAAGTTCCCACAAAAAATCTGCCACAAAAAAACCCACCAGTGATTGAGAAGCACCATGGAGATGACAGAGGAAGACATTTTATGCTGATTTTGCCTTTTTTCAGTCTGTGTGGAGTAGCACTTTAAGAATACAAACTGTCATGCATTTAACCTAGACCAGGGATTGTGGCACCCAGGAGTGACTGCAGGCTGCCATGACATTTGTTGCTTTCGTGGTAATAACTTCAGTTTACTTTGAATATTCTTACATCCCTTAAATAGCCATTATACACCACCAACCACAAAACAATTTCTTACCCTGTGTATGCTACCAATAACAGGATAGAAAGTACCTTAGTAATTACTTTTGGCAGGAAAGCAACACCAGCGTTCAAAAGGTTGTTTCTTCACCATAATTCGCTGTTTATGTTTCTAGGAACAACGTTACTTTTTCTTATACTTACAACACAGTGCTTTTTAAAAATCTAGCAGAATGCTGCAACCTGTATTTATTTTAAGTAATCCTGTCTAAAAAGATGACCAAACATTAATTTAACTTCATTTTAAGTGATTTTTTTAGGGCCGGAGATATAGTTCAGCAGCACAAGTGCCTGCCTGGCAAGTGCAAGGTCCTGAGTTCGATTCCCGATACCAAAAGTAAATAAATAAATGAATTTTTGGCTGGGCATGGTGGCTCATGCCTGTAATCCCAGCACTCAGGAGGCTGACGCAGGAAGATTACCATCAGTTTGAGACCAGCCTGGGCTACATAGTGAGTTCAAGGCCAGGCTAAACTACATGGCGAGACCCGGTCTCAAAAAATCAGAATAAATGAATGAATTTCTTCAAAGGTACAGAAGAACACAAAACTCAAGATATCTTTCTTCTGAACTCATTTATCTCTAAATATTTCTGTAATTATCAGCAAGCTGTGGTATTCATACCATACCTGCCATATTCCTGCCCAGAACTGGCACAGAATAAGTGGCTGTTAATGAAGGGTAGAATTACTCACTCTGAAAATAAGGAAAGAGATCCTACAGGATGATTTCCTTCCCACTTTAGGGCTCGGAGGGAAATGCTTACATTCCAGACAGCTGAACGATCATTTTGCTTTGAAAACAGTCTACAAGCCAGTTAACTACCTGAAGTTCTGGATATAGGTATAATCGTCTTCTTTCTGTACTAGATGTGACTTTACAATTGTATCTCGCAGTCCAAACTTCTGCATCGATAAAATATGAGCCTTGTCTGATACTGTGATAGTGGAAGAGCGAACCAGGTCAGTAATTTCAGACTTGGATTTATTCTGTCTGGAAAAATAAGAACATTTTTATTCATATTTTGATGAGTCCTCACTGGCAAAATGAATGAATAAGAAGCTAGGATTTTTTACACACGAGTATCTGAATCACAGGAGACTAAAGGAAGCCAAAACAAAATTCATTTGCTAAAACATCATTTCTATAGGAAATTAGGTGAACTTTTATGTTGTTGATTGCACAATATACTGGTCTGGAGATTTTTCTGATAACAGAGTCAGAGAATCTTAGGGCAGAAGGGGACCTTAAGGATAATCTAATATACTTCATTTTCAGCTAAGAAAAATGAAAGCCAGCATCATCCATGATTTGCCTAGCAGGATGAGGGCAGAGTATGAATTAGAACTCAGATCTGACAAAGCTCTTTCTAGACCCTCATACAAAAAACCTATAAAACATCAGCTGTTTTGACTCAATACTTTTGCTTCTTTATTTCTCTTTCACAGGAATAATCCAAAGTAATAGGAGAGTAGAGAATTACATTTTGTTGCTATTTAGAGTCAACTACAAATTATTTAGGTGCCAGTTTAAACAAAATTTGACATATTTACCTAATAGAACCCTATGTAACAGCCTAAGAAACTTTTATTGAAGGCCACTTACTAAAATATATATGACATATAAACCTGTTTGACCCTGAATCAATACCACATGAATGTTTAACATCACTATCATTATTAACACTGATGAAGGCTATGTAAGAATATATCTCTGTATATCGAGACGGCTCAAGAGTAAATTGACAATGACAGCTCTGGCTCCATTTTAGAATTAGAGATTGTTGCCAGGCATGGTGGCGCATGCCTGTAATTCCAGCACTTAGAAGGCTGAGGCAGCAGGATCGTTGCAAGTTTGAGAACAGCCTGGGCTACAAAGTGAACTGCACAGTGAGACCCTGTCTCAAAAACACACACACACACACCAAAAAAAAAAAAAAAAGAAAAAAGAAAAGAATTAGAGATTGTTCACTGCTATGTAAGTGGCAATTAAAATAATAATACAAAGAAGAAAGTACTGTTATCTTGACCAAGTGATTCTGGCTATGAGCTGTAGGGGGCAGTGGAGTATGAACTAAATATAATACACAGCACATCAGGAAAAAAAACAAATTAAAACTTTTTTTTTTGTCTTTAAGAGACAGGGTCTCGCTATGCAGTTCAGGCTGGACTTGAGCTCACTTTGTAGTCCAAGCTGGTCTCGAACTTGCAATGATCCTCCTGCCTCAGCCTCCTGAGTGCTGGGATTACAGGCGTGCGCCACCACACCCGGCCAAGATGTATTTGCAAAGTCAGAAAACATTTTAAAAAATGGGAGGGGAAAAATCAGACACTTCTAATTTTCCACATTTTTGAAGGAAGGTTAAAAGGCTAAGTTTAAACTACTAAAGTTGCCACTTGCTAGTTCTGAGATCTTGGGCAACATACAACTTCTTAACACTCGAATTTCTTTAGTGCCAAAACATAAAAAGGTACTTAACCCTTAGTCAAAACAAGATAGTCTAGCTGGGTGTGGTGATGTACACCTGTAGTCTTAGCACTAGGGAAGCTGAGGCAGGAGGATTGCCACCAGTTCAAAGCCAGCCTGAGCTCATAGTGAGTTCAAGGCCAGCCTGAACTACATAGTGAGTTCAAGAAAAACACAACAATAAAACAAGATAGCCCATTTAAAATGATGATGTCTGGTAGTCACAATAAGTACCAGTAAATGTCAGGTATTACAAACATCTCTTAGGCCAGCTAAGTTTCTTATATCATGCACAATAATGGTCTCAGTTCTCTAATGAGACCTTCTATCCTAAGAGATGCAAGTGAAGGGAGAGTTACGTTACCTTGTGAGCAAGTTTTCTGCTTTGTCCTGACCTCCAGAGCTTTGGTCCCCAAGTAGACTTTTCCCATTTGATCTTGAATTGTCAAAGTTAGAAACACCTGGAGAATAAGAGAAGGGATTAAAATATAGGACATATGCTTTAGTACACAGACCACAGCTGCTCTAGTGGTAGCCTAGGAATTATTGGTAGTCCACATACAGCTTGTAAGCAACAGAAAGACCCATGCTGGTACATGGGTGAAGTCCACAGGGGATGTACAGAGGTGACAAGTATTTCTTTCACTTGGATGCTTACACTGTGGAAAACATAACTAATCTAGCTAGTCTAAGTCTGTTTTCTCAGGGAAGAATATATTATACAATGAACAGAACTATTAAATCTGAATATCTAAGTTTTATCACCAGATTATTAACCTATTATTTATCAGCTATTATTTATTAACATTTTAACTTTGCACAAGCCACCTGACCTCTCTTAATCTCAGTAAATGATCTGTCCCGTCTTTCTTACGGGTTTACTGCCAAGATCAAATGAGTTGACATGTAAGCACTTTAATAGCCACACAGCATATTATAATAGAAGACAATGATCTTATTACCATCTGTTGCAAGTGAGTCTTCGGCTCTATAGAGGAGAAAGGCAAAGGTCAGAGATCTAAAACTGGAAAGGGTCTAAGTGCTTTGGGAATAAGAAGTGCTTGTCATTGTCAACAAATTGCTTGAAAACCAAAGAACCCAAGGATGATCAACAAAGAAATATTTTGGGAAATTTGTTAATCCAAGATAAACCTAAAAAAGAAAATTAATCTGCCAAAAGCTTCTTTGCTCCTTAAAAAGCCAAACTTCTTGTCAACAGGGGACAACATGAAGAAGCCACAGAGAGACATGACATCAATATATGAGTTATGGGAAGGCGCCCAGGAGGCATGAAACACTGCCAAAGAATTCTGCTCTGAAGATTATTACTAAACATGGATTTCTCAACATGTATCCATAAACTAGAACAAAAAAACTGCTGAAAAATAAAACAATCATTTGAAACATGAAAATAGTTACACTTCAATGCTGCCAATCACCAAACCCTATGGGCTTTATGCCCTTCCATTCATATGCTGAAATCCTAAACCACCAGCCCCATGCTGACAGTAGATGAAACCTTTGGGGAACACTTAGGTGATGAGAGGATCCCTCCAGAATGAGATTAGTGCCCTTATAAAGAGGAGACAGAGTAGCTGTGTGAGGACACATAGGAAAAACAGCCCTAGGTAAACAGGAGACACTGAATCTACTAGCACCTTGACCTTGGACTTCCCGGCCTCCAGAACAGTGAGAAGCAAGTCTATTGCTTATAAACTAACCCTGGTACTCTATTAAGGCAGGCTAAATGGACTAAGATGCAAAGGTCTTTCAATTTTGCTTTGTAAATGCCTTTCGAATCAATATATTCCCATTCCCAATATCACTGTGCTAACCTAGGCTACCAACATCTCCCCTGAATGGCTACGACAGCCTTAGCCAGTCTCAGCTTCTTTTCTCACCCTCCATATGTTCCGACCCAAACTCCTTACCATGGCTGGGATTTTTTTTTTTTTTTAATTTTATCTGATCACATCACTTTAAACCTTTTTTTTTTTTAATTGACTTATTTATTTATTTATTTATTTATTTTTGTCTTTTTGAGACAGGGTCTGGCTATGCAGTTCAGGTTGGCCTTGAGTTCACTTTGTAGCCCAGGCTGGTCTCAAACTCACAATGATCCTCCTGCCTCAGCCTCCCGAGTGCTGGGATTACAGGCATGTGTCACCACGCCCAGCACTTTAAACCTTTTAAAGATTCCCCACTCACTAAACCCAAGTCCCTCCATGTAGTTGCCAAGGTTCTCCTCAGTCTGGACCCTACCACCTTGCCAGTCCTTACTGCTAGCACAGTTTCTAGAGCCAGGCAAAGACCCTACAAAAACTAGCTCCCTCTTCCCCGCTGTGCCTGAGACACTTTAGCCAGCTAATTCCTACTCATTCTGTGGGTCACCAAACTTTTCCTATAAATGGCCAGAATGAATATCCTAGGCCAGGGGTGGCAGCAGGTATTTGTATCATTGAAAGCTCTAAAAGGTTTGCCATCAATGTCCTAGGTTTTGCAAGCCATATATGATCTTGGTCCCAGCTTCTCAACTCTGCCATGATAATGCAAATGAAATTTTATTTATGGATCCTGAGATCTGAATATTATATAATTTTCACACATCATACATTTTAGTCTTTTCAAACATTTTTAAATGTGGCCTGCCAGGCACTGTAGCACACATCTATACAGTCTCAGCTACTGGAAGTTCAGGGCCAGCCTGGCAGCACAGCCAGACTCTGTTTTAAAAGTAAGGAAAGAAAGGAGGGAGGGACAGAAGGGAAAGAAAGAATGAAAACCATTCTTAGCCCATGAGCTGAAAAAAGCCAAATTCATATACAGGTGTGTGCCACCACGGCCAGCTCCTGATTTTAGTGTTCTAATAGCTCCCTGTACTTCACCCAGGCTGGCCTCAACTGCTACGTATTCGATTTTTTCCTCCCTAGGTAGACCAAGCTTACTAAGGAGGAGACCACATCTGACTTATCCATGAGCACACTACCTAGCACATTATAAGTGCTGCAATCCTCAACAACTCAAGAGAAAAGATGAAAAAGACCTAAATCACCTGTGAGTCATATTAATATCCAAGTTCAAGCCTGTAGCATTCTTTTGGAATATCTAAGGTAATCTTCCCATCGTCATTGCTGAATTCCCATTCAGCATACAACAAACATAAGAAAGGGAAAACTAGAATAGGTTTTTCTCTGGGTTCTTTTGTTGTTTTTCAGTTCTTTTAAGACAGGCTCTCCCTACGTAGCTCAAGCTGGTCTCAAACTACTATGCAGCCCAGTGTGGCCTCAAATTTAGTATCTTCCTCCCTCAGTCTCCTGAGTGCTGGGATTGCAGAGATGCATCATCACACATGGTTACAATAGATTTTTGAAAGTTTTACTATCCCGTGGTTACTTAATTAGTACTTTTTTGCTGGATATACACCCATAATCCCAACACTCAGAAGGCTGAGGCAAGAGGATCGCCACCAGTGTAAGGCTAGCTTGAGTTGCACAGTGAGACTCTGTTTCAATTTTTTAAAAAAAGACTTTCTGAACCAAATTCAACTATATTCCATTCTCTTACTTTATTATAAGCTATAAGGCTTAGAGAACTAAGGTATTTAAACTAGTGAATGGGATCCTGAGACATCTTCTAGAATGACTGAAATTTTAAAAACTAATGATACTGGTTGCTGTAAGGATAGAGAACAACAGTAACTTTTTATCATAATAAGACAGAAAATAGTATACTACTTTGGAAGACAGTCTGGCAGTTTCTTTCAAAATTAAAGTCTTAGCCAGGCATGGTGGCACACGTCTGTAATCTCAGCAGTTGGGAGACTGAGGCAGGAGGACTACCTCAAATTTGAGGCCAATTTGAATTACATAGTGAGACACTGTCTCAAAAAAACAAAATAAGGAGCTGGGGATTTAGCTCAGCGGCACAGCACCTGCCTGGCAAGCGCAAGGTCTTGAGTTCGATTCCCGGTACCAGAGAAAAACAAAACGATAAATAAATAAATAAATAAAAGGTAGGGGACACAGTTTAGTGGCACAATGTTTATCTAATATATGCAAGACTCTGAGTTTACTATATGTGCTGCTGAAGCGAGCACAAAACCCTGGGTTTAATCCCCAGTCCTAAAAAAAAGGAAAGGAAAAGTGGAAAAAAGCCCTGCACACAAATGTTTATAGATGCCTAGTGTGGTGGTGCACACCTATAATCCCAGCACTCAGGAGGCTGAGGCAGGAGGATCAATGTGAATTTGAGGACAGCCTGGGCTACAATCAATGTGAGTTTTAGGACAGCCTGGGTACAAGACTACATAATGTGTTCAAGGCCAGCCTGAACTGTACAGCGAGACCCTGTCTCAAATAAGTAAGAAAAAAAATGTCTATAGCAACTTTATTTACAATTGCCAAAAATCAGAAGTCTAAGATGTCTTTCAATAGGTAAATAGATAAACAAACTACTAAAATATGTAAATATTAAAAATATTATTCGGCAACTATAAAATGAGTTATCAAGCCCCAAAAAGGCAAGAATGATCTTAAATGCATACTTCTAAGTGAAAGAAGTCAATGAGAAAAGGATGTAAATTATATGACTCCAATTATAGAACACACTGGGTAAGATGAAACTGTAGAGATGGTAAACAGAACAGTGGTTGTCAAGGGTTCCGCAGGTGGGGATGAAACAAACCCATGAAAGACAGGGGACTGATTTTTTAGGGCAGTGAAACTGTAACAGCAGATATGTGACACTATATTTCAAACCCCAAAGGACTTCTCGGCACAAAGAACAAACCTTAATGCATATATACATATATATGTATTTTTTTTTTTTTTTTAAGAGAGGGAGTCTCAAGGTGTTGCCCAAGCTGGCCCCTAACTCCTCAGCTCAAGGGATTCTCCCATCTCAGCCTCCCACTTTGGGGAGAAGGACATTCTTTCAATGTATTACCTATGCAGGACTTCAGGCCTCACCAAGCCATATGATTGATTCTGGAGGCAGTCTAGCAAAAGCATTAGTGTAAAAGGAAATGACAGCAGGACCTGTGTCCCTGTGGAAAGCCACTGGGACAGCACGAGATGCCTTGCTGAGATATGCCCGAAGGAATGATAACACGATGGCTAAGTCAAGTCCCATTCCTGCGATAATTGAGTTGTACTGTCCTTGCCAATCCTGTTAATTATTCCTCCCATTTGCCCTGTTGCTGCTTTTTGTTTGTATCCCAATAGGCTGGCTAAGGGGGATGGTAATCAAGGCTTCAGTCCCCTGATCCCATAGCTTTCTCTCTCATTTTTCTTTTCATCCACGGGGTCCTTGTTCTTGGGACCTGTCACCCCACACAGAAACTGACTATACACTGACACCACATGGGCAGCAGCCCCTGGTCCTAATGTACCCTTCCCCTTGCCCTGGTACTGGGGATTGACTCCGGAGCCTTCACACTGAGCTATGTCATCGGCCTTTCTAA